AACGCGAGTTGAGAGGCCGTCCTTCCGCAGACGACATGTCTGATAAGACCTTGGACAGGATCATATGCGGCGTTTTTCCTTGAAAACGTTTCGTGTCTCATGCGACACAGTGGGTTAATGACCTTCTTGGTATCTGGTCTTTCTCTTCTTTTTCGGCGTTCTTAGGGCGGTCGGGACGTCTTCCAGGAATCAATCTCTTCTTCAATTGTTTTGCTAGTTCTCTCTCTTGTTTCCCCCAATGGCATACTGTACGTTGATGGTACTCGGAGGCCTCCACCTTTTGATACATCGTTGTCTTAGATCTTTTACTGGGGGTCTTGTCTGCCTTTTGAGTATCGGAAATGTCGCGCGTGTATGCACTGATCACACGTATGGTGACTTGAGCACTTTGCACCCGGTCAGCAGCTTTCACGCCGGTTTGGATACGGAATAACTGTATTACTACTTTTGAAGATAAGTGTCTTCGGCGTTCGCATGTGAGCTACTTACCCTGAGGGCAGGAGACCAAACCGTGATCACAGGAGTGCCAAAATCCTTGGTGGAGAAATGTCGCTTCCCAGGCTAATTTGGAGTCAGGCCCGCGCGGACCTCACATGAACCCAGACTGGGGCTTACAATATCGCTAGGACGCGATGTTTCTACCAAACACAGCAACGACCAATGAAATTCTCTCAATCGACCTCGCTATCTCCTTCCAGGCGCCTTCTATGCTTTTGCTTCCGCACTGGAAAACCGGGTAAGAAGGCGGCTTTTCAATATAAGCAAATGAAAGTGGAAGCTTGGTTGTCGCGCTAACCGCAAGCGGCGACAACTTGGGGTAACAACCTCATTAACATGCGAGGCTTGTAGAGAGGTGGCGAGGGGAGTGTGGGTCAGGCTATATGGAAGAAAATGTGAGGTGAGTTAATTGCGCCAAAGAGATGGGACAGAGTGTATATCTTGCACTTATTCCTGGCCTCTCTGAGAAACAGTCGGTCAGAGCTCTCAAGTATCACAATGAGAATCTCTTACGCAAGCGCAGCAGTGCTGCTAAACAGCGCTTTTGCTGTCGCTCAATGTACGTTTCCCCATGGTCTCGACAGCGGAATATTGGCTAACACAAGGCAGCGACGAACGGCACTGGCGTAAAGTGCCCTTCGAGTTCAAAGTTCGCGTCGATCTCAGCCGGCACTTTCTTCGCAAAGCTGAATCCGGGGTGGAATGTTGGCAATACGCTCGATGCCGTGGAGACTGAAGGCAGCTGGAACAACCCACCTGTTGTAGGAAGCACATTCGACGATGCGAAAAGAGCTGGGTTCAAGAGCATTCGAATTCCTATTACCTGGGCGTACCACTTCACCTCTCAATCGCCCGACTGGACCGTCGATGCCGTATGGCTACAGCGTGTATCAGACGTCGTAGACATGGTCACAGACCGCGGATTGTACGCCATTGTCAACGTCCACCACGACTCTTGGACTTGGGCCGATTTGACAGTTGCGAACACGAATGTTACAGCTGTAGAAGAGAGGCTTGGGAAGTTATGGGAGCAGATTGGCAAGAAGCTCGCTTGCAAGAGCGAGAAGGTTGCTTTCGAGACGATTAATGAGATCCCGGGGACTACGGCTGAGCATGGCGCTGAGGTCAACAGGCTGAACGATATCTTCCTCAAGGCTATCAATGATGCTGGGGGTCACAACCCGAAGCGCGTTGTTACGCTCGTTGGCGCTGGTGAAGATGGAGCGAAGACGTCGCAGTGGTTTAAGAAGCCTGATCCGAAGTTCAAGAATCCTTGGGGCATTCAGTATCACTACTACTCACCTTGTAAGCAGCAACCATCTTACCATACGAGGTATCATGACTAACCATACTGTAGACGACTACGTTTTTCAGGCCTGGGGCAAAACCACGTGGGGCTCCGACGCCGACAAAGCTGCTCTCGAAGCCGACCTCGCCGCCGTTCGTGGAAACTTTACCGATATCCCTCTGGTCATCGGTGAGTGGGCTGTATCGCCCGTCGCCACTGAGACTGCAGCGCGCTGGCGATACTTCGATTTCTTCCTCCGCACAGCAGCAAAATACAACACTTCGACCATCCTCTGGGACAACGGAGCCGACTTCCTTGATCGCGCAACGCATGTTTGGCGTGACGAAGTTGCCCTAGATATCTACCGCAACGCAGTAAAAGGCATCCCGAATGCGCTTCCGGAAAGTACTGCAGACGGCTCTGCAACAACGCAGACGAGTTCCGCGTACATCTACCACCGCAAGAACGAAACTGTAGGAGACGCCACGTTGGGCTTCATATTCAACGGAAACACACTCAGTAAGATTAGCAAAGGAAGCAGACAGCTAGCCAAAGGCAAGGACTACACCGTATCAGGCGAGAAGATCACCTTCGCAGCTGCATACCTCAAATCGATCATCACACCTACATCGCCTACCGGCAGCTTAGCAAATTTGACATTGACCTTCAACCGCGGCGCCGCTCTACAAGTCAACATCCTCCAGTACACCACACCAATCCTGTCCAGCAAATCCGGGCCTTTGCCAGCAGCTGGCCAGGACCTGCTTGTCCCGATTACATGGTCTGGCCAAAACAGGCCTGCTGCCGTCAAAGCTACCAAAGCTGATGGAACGTATCTAGTGGATGACTGGACGCAGTACCTACCTGTGCTACAGCAGGGTCGGGCGACGTACGGTAACCATTGGGACTGGACTGCACAAGGTGTTGTTATCAAGGCAGCGGCTTTGGATGCTGTGAGGGCGGCGGGCTTGGATACGACGTTCATGATTGAGTTTTATCCCAGGGAACCGGGGAATGCGGTGGAGTACACTGTTACTGTTTGAAAGAAGCAAAGGTTAGAACTTGGCTTGTACTGTGACGGGTCATAGTTCAGATAATGACAAGCTTCATGATATGCTGATATCAACCAATGTTGTCTCAATAAATAGCATTACGATTCAAATATATACACTACTCTCTGCAGAGCGGAAGTATGCCAAACGGCCATCGTTACCAAACCCATCCAGCTTAAACAACAGCCTTGAAAACAGGGATGACGATGTCGTCGCGCTTACGGCCACCACCAATGTCGGTGGTGACCTCGATAGCAGCCTCTCCGTAGACGACAACACCATTGGGCAGAGTCTCCTGAAGGGTAACGACTACAAGGCAAAAAAAGTTAGTTCGAAGCTATCAGACTGGCATATGGAGATGTAAACGTACGCTTTCCGTCGTAGGTGAAGTCGAATGTCAACTGGTCGCAGCCGTGGAGGTAAGGGTCCTGAGCCTCGACGCAGGTGTTCCTCAGCTCGGTGTACTGGTCGTTTGAGAACTCGGCGTGGAGGTAGATTTGGCCAACGTCGGGTCCGACGGTAATCTCGACGTTCCACTGGCCTTGGTTGTCGCGGGGGAGGACTGCGGCGGAGGCGGTGCTGGCTACGAGAGCGAGGAGGGCGGTGGTGAACTGCATCTTGGTGGTGATGGTGTTGAAAGTGGTTGGTTGGTAGATGGGAATATCGGTAGTAGGAGTAGTAGTAGTAGTGGCGAGGAAGTGATGGATGTTGTTGATGATGTCTGTCTAGCTGAGTGGAATACCGAAATTATATACGCAAAGCCGTAGCTGCCGAGTACCACCGAAATGCACGTTGCTCGTGATTACGGAGTACGAGTACGAGAGCTACAGAAAGCATCTATTTTCACGTTGTAATGCGAGGTGTATCCTGGACCTAGCGGTGTGGAGTTGCCTACCTCTTTCGCACTGATCGTCCGTATGTTCCCCATACAGGGCACCGAGGTACTGTGGCCCTGGACTCTCAATACTCGCGAGCGCACTGGTGTTGCGCTTTCTCCTTTTCGATGCGTTAGTTGACTTATTTTTAGAAAGGTACAAGCTCTTGTCTTCTGGTAAGATGGGGCTGACGTCAAAACATCCGACCGTTACCTAGGTACCGACGATACTATATTCTGACACCTCAAGAGCCTTTGGAGACATGTTTGATGAGTCTGCACATCATTCAAGTTCCTTACTAATCATCAATTGTTTACACATTATGCACATCTTAACGGCGTTGTTTTGGTGAGGAAAGAGTCTGGGCTTCTTCACCCACCGGGTGAATCGCCCGTAAGCATGGAAGAGGAAGTGGAGAGGTAAATCTCCGAGCTACAATGCTACTGTGGCGCCGTCAAACCGGAACAAGCTTTTCACGCCGAGAACACGAGCGCCAGTCAGGCACGGCACGATATCGTAGCGTTTGATATGTACGTGCGCTGATAATGACGATGCAGGGCTCACCAAGAGAAGATACCACAACCGACCAGCATTGTGTCACAATAACCTGGCCGTTGCCGCTGATCCGGGATGCTAGCAGTCGATCACTTCGACTTCATGCGTTCGTGTTGTTACTCTGTTTTTCTTTTTCGAGCATTTATCAGTTGCCTTAAGCAGCCATTGACTCCGCGCAGTAGGAGCCCTGTAATGCGACTATCAGGACGTTTCATCCAAGCCTAACGCGAATCACTCAAATGAATACCCGTTGGACGATTCGTTGATTGGAAGTTCTAAAAAAGGGTCAAATTTGTGGATGGTCGATATTGAACGATATAGGTAGCATCGGAACTGTTCCTTCCAGGGAAATTGTACAACTGTTACGAACTCGTCGCAGCGGATCATTGACGACGTCTTTAGCACTGTGCGTTTGTATTGAAGAGGCATTCGAGTTGATGGTGGTGGTTGAGCAAATCAAAAACTTAGGGGTGTAACCTCATGACGCTACGTCATTGTTACCCGCCTCTTAAGAACAACTAGGCTCGGGGGCTGCCCAATAGCAATATCGCCCACCGACTAATTTGACTGGAGTGTTCCAGCGTGATATCAATCCCATGAGAGAGCGCCATACATGCTACAACCAGCCCCGGGCGAGTAAGTGCTGATGATGGGTGTGTGCAGAGGACATAGACGAAGTGTTGTCAGAGGATGAGAAGAAGACAAGCTATAGCATGAGAACATTGTATTCTGTTATCGTATCGCAGCCTCCCATTCCTTCAGCGCAGATCTTAGTCTTACTTCGACGCCATTCTCATGCCAAAAGTGCCCTCCGCCTGCAACCTCAACACTAGTGAAGCGTGAGTTCGGCTCGGCTTTGAGCTGTTCTGACCAGTCCCGAATTTTCTTTGACGAAGCGAAGATATCCTGATCGCCATAGATTGCTAGGGTCATATGCTTTCCAATCACTTCTTGATACTCGTCTTTAGACCTGCTCCAAAACTTGTGTATAAGGGCCGGTGCGGCAAGTGTAGAGGTTGGCGGTGTCAGCGGCGAGATGAGAAGATAACGGACGTCTGGCATTGTAGTAGTCTTTGTGCTCTTCTTCTCCGGCTGCGGTATCGGTTCGTGGTTTTCGTGTCGTCGCCTGTGACTGAGGCTTCTTAGCCGCGTTCGGATTTCGAGCCGCGAGCCACCCTCAAGACTTCTTCGAACGTCTCTACTACTCCTACGCTTCTCTGTACTTGTCTCTTCTCCACCCATTGTCACTTGGGGTCTCGGTTCGTTCCCCGCTCTGCTTTTCCTCCTAGCTCTGGTTTCATCCCGAGCTAGGTTGATCCATTCCAGATTGCTCTGGTCTGCTAGCTTGCGAGCGCGCAGAACTATCTCGTCTGCCGCAGTACCTGCTATTGGAGTGGAGAACGGTTGTAGTATAGTCGGTATGGGCGGTAGGTGTCTGAGGATGAGGGAGCCATAGGAGTAGCCTCCTAATATGACTATGGGGGATGCATCATCTTGCACCTGTGCCAACTCGTTTTGGTTCGATAGTATCGGAGACTGGTCGGGCACGAAGGTAAGGTCGGAGGTAATGCGCGGTCGGAGGCAGGATATGTAGTGCATGAAGAATGCGGCGAAGGATGTATAGTCGTCTAGTTCGGGTCTTCCAGACCAGCTAGTGCGTCCCTTGGACCCGTGAGCACCTCTAGCATCCGTTAGTCTTGAATCGCTACGGTGAAGTCCTGTTATGATAGTACCTGAAGTTGAATGTGCCCACCATCCACCCAGCATGTAAGAACTCATCCACCACGATACCGACTACCCGATCGTCATAGCTACCGCCCATTGGCGCGTATGGGTGTGCCATGACGATACCCCTCTTCCTCCATTGCGCGATATCGGCCGAGTCTTTCGGCTTGGTCAGGGTATCTGGATGGTATACGCGGCAATCGAGTGTCGTGTCATCGTGTATCGACGGTATCGTGAAGCTGTAATGAGCTTCTGGTGAGCGGCGCATCTTCTGGGCCGAATCGAGACCCAGCTGCAGTGCTCATTGCATCTTCGAAAGGTAATGATGCTAGGCAGTAGCCGATAGGACTATGTGCACAATACAGGATGGTCTTACTACGCGGCTGTGCAAGACCGTGGGGTTGGCTCAGAGTTGCGGAGAGCGTTCCGTTGATCGCGGGCCCGTGCGACGATGTGTCGAGACACGTTGGCACACACACGGCAACGTCCCCAATGCACAACCCTGTATTGCAATCAAAAAGCTAGGTTCATGCTAAAGCCACACTCGGTTCGTCTTCTGCACGGTTTAGGCGTATTCTTGCTGTGTACTCAAGCGTGGACGGCAGCTAGGATAGAGATGACGCGCCGGGCTGTGCACGTCAGCCTTCGCGCAAGCGAGTGAGGGCTGACCTACTTCGACAAGTTCACATTTGTTGGGCTTATGGTAGCGGCTGAAACTCGACCTCTTATAAATGGCTCCTAGGACACCGGCGCACTCACATCGACTGCCTGTCTTCGCAGAAGATTCTCGTAAGAGAGAGACGATGGACGAAACGTCAAGCACGTGTCGACACACTGACGTTCAGGTCTTCGATGCGTTCCGCTGTTGCATGTCTTGCGGCGACCTCGTCCCAGAATCGGCCTCGCTAGCTATTCCAGTATTACCCTTCGAGTACAGGCCGCTCGACTGCGAAGATGAGCAACGCATCCGGCTAGTTCATGTACGCCCCGGTCAAAAGCAGGATGATATCGTCTGCGACCTTGTCCATGTCAGCCTAGCAGCCGCACCCGTTTACGAGGCAGTTTCATATACTTGGGCGACAACAGACGGCGATGCCTCCCTCTCTCAGTTTATAGTCTGTCATGGAAGAAGACTCGCCATCACGAAGAATTGCGAAGCGGCCCTTCGATGCGTTAGAAGACCAAACTTACCCCGCGTACTTTGGATTGATGCTATGTAAGCTCGCCGTGCAGGCTTCATATTGTATGGGGGCTGGCTGCTCACATCACCTATCAGATGTATCGATCAGAAAAGCACGACCGAAAGAAACCACCAGGTCCGATTAATGAACGCTGTCTACTCAAATGCTTCTCAGGTATTGATATACCTAGGGTTTCGTCCCACTGAAGCGAATTCGAGATTCTTGGGTTACCTAGACAAAAGATCTCAAGGCATCATCGCTGATGATCCCCAGATCGACGAGTCACTGATCAAGGAGTTCCTGCAGCACCCATACTTCAACAGGGTCTGGGTGTTACAGGAGATATCCCTGGCGAAGCTAGTCACTCTCTATACAGATTATGAGACTATCCATTGGGATGCGCACACTGTTCGGGAGCTCATGCGTCTATGCGACAGGCGTAAACACGATCCTCCAGGCGTTCTACACTGGCTTCCAGCGACTCAACGAGATGAGCACGATTGCCTAGACTTGTTGCATCGCGCCCGTCGTTGTATGGCTACAGACCCGAGAGACAAAGTCTTCGCTCTCTATAGTTTTTTCCCCTTATCCTTTCGTGAGGCTCTTCCAATAGACTATGCCTTGAGTACCAGAGAAACCTATGGGAATATCGCAACTCATTTGATATTCACGACGGGACGGCTAGACGTGTTGAAGCATGTACCTCCTCATCAGCCTCTGGATCTCGACGTTATGCCTAGCTGGGTGCCGGATTGGAACATACGTCAGTTTACTGATACTGAATGGCCAAATTTCACGGGGGCGCAGTCAAAAAAGTTCGCGGTATCCGCCTCCAGTCCGATGTCGATGTCAAGTTCATCAACTGCCGGAATCCAGCCACAAGCTACCCACAAAGCACATGACGATCACCAGACTCAGCTCAGTTCTCGACATGATCCTGTTCTACGGTGCCGGAACCAAAATATTGATCATCACCATCCAACGCTTGAAAAGCTGCACACTATGAAGTTCTCTACGATCCCGTGTTTGCGCGTCCGAGGATGTCTTCTGGACAGGGTTACTAAACCACACCGCAAGATGCCATCTTTGGACGTCGACCAGAGTACAATGATAAGAAGGTTCCGAACTCACGGCATGTCTTTCCTTCATTCAAGAGTGTGTTGCTCCCGTGGCGGCAACGCAGAGGGCATGCCTTCCGACATAAATCCATCTGACGAACAAGTGGGTCGTGAATTGCGGCTGATGATAGGGCTTGTTGAAGTAATGGCAAGCTCTCGTGGGGTGAAGCAGGCTTTTGAAACACAACAATCGCTTGGGTTCGTTCTGCGCGGTCCTATGGATGACTTAACGCAACGCAGACAAGTAAGGAGGGTGGAATCAGGTGACACGATCTGGGCTATAGAAGGACTCGATATTCCCGTCATTTTGCGTCGCAGGACCCAAGAGGGCAAAACAGATTATGTTCTCATACAGCCATGCTATCTTCATAGAGCAGGGCTGGACCAAGATTGTCCTTTATGTGGCTCAGACTCACAACCATGGTTGATGGAGCACGCGACTATCGACATCTGGTAGCGCTGTATCACCTAGAGAGACATCTCAGCTGTATTAAATGTAGGCAGTCCCCTCATTGTCTCATCTCCCCGAATATGACTGACCTACTCAGTTGGACTGTCAAGAGAGGATGCATTGTCGGTGCAAAGGACACAAACGGGTTCAATTGGGCTTTTTCGGTGACTCTCTTCTGGGAACACACAACCATACACTGGTCCACGAGCATGAAAGTACCACTGAGCGGCAGCTCGAGATTATAAATTATCCGCACCCATCCATACCCAAGACAGCATGCCCTGAGCAAAGACAGACACCCAACTACAGCTCTAACAGCCCAATCCCTCACAGTGGCCGAAGCGCACCGCTCCTATCTTCAGCCCACCTACCAGCGATGGCCTGTCTCGTACTCTTGCCCCAAAACGCCACCGGCATAGCAACCAACCCACCCACAATTTGGAAAATCATAAGTTCAATACCAACCCAAACATACCCGTGTGACTCAATCCAGGGCACAAGCGCAAAGCTCATAGCCCAAGTGAGGAAGTAACAACCTCCAAAAACAACAGCAATGGCTGGAGCTGCCCACCGTGGAAAGGCTTCAGTAACCCAAAGCGTGTTCGCAATCATCATCGTTATGAAGGAGATGCCGTTGATGCCGTATGCGAAGTAGAAAGCAGATGCCCTCCATTGGTACTGCACTGCGAGGCCGTAGATGAGAGAGCTTAGTGCGCCGGTGAGGACGGGGAGGATGTAGCTGACGAGGTAGTGCTCGGCTTCTAGGACACCTTTGTTGCGGCTTGAGAGGCGCTTTAGAACCTTGCCGAAGAGGATGGCGAAGATAGGCAAGCCGCATAGGGCTCCGATGCCCGATGCGACGTTGACAGTGCCGACGAGGCCTGGTGGTATGTTGTAAGGCGGTGCGATGAGGATCTTTGCGTAAGTTGCGCCGATGAAGATCATGCTTGCCGAGTTGAAGGCAGAGGCAACAAAGACCCAAAAGATGAGTGGGTTGACGGCACAGTAACCCATTTGGATAACGCACCGTCCCGCCGAAGCCCATGATGCGAAGGGTGACCGTGATAGACCGACCCGGTCACGGAAGCCTGCAAAGCCGGTGCGTAGCGGGTATTCGGGGAGGTCGCGATAGATCTCGGAGTCTTTTTCGCGGTCTTCGTAGACGGTCAGCTTTTCGGTGGCACTCTGTAGCAGGATGAGTCCGTTGAAAGCTACTGTTGGTCTCTTGAAGTATGTCTCGGGGTAGAGAAAGAAGGTGACGACGAGCGAGACGACAACGGGAATGGTCCAGTAGTGGTAGAATCGACGCCAGTTGTTGCCGTGGTCGGCTAGGAGGGGTACAAGTGCAACGCCAGAGGTGCCGAAGCAGCCTGCCATGCACCACATGAGGGCTATTCCTATCGATCTCTGGTTGATGTATGTGAGGTCAATGACCATTAGGAAGGCCTGATGTTGTTAGTGAGTGACATTATAGTTGTATTATGGCGCTGCTCACCAGAGACAAAGCGAGTCCTTCTCCCAAGCCGAGGAAACACACTGCGGCGACGAGGGAACAGAAAGTTTGTGCTTGACCGGCCCATACCATAGCGGCCAGTACGACCATGGTCGCTATCAGGATAGTAGGCCGACGACCCAAACCGATTGACACTGGCACCCACAGCAAGCATCCAATGCCCATGAGCATGGTCGGGCCTGTCACCAACGCTTTGATTTGCCATTGAGGTATGTCCTAGAAATATGTGAGCGATAGTCATGGCGAGTAGCTACATCGGAGCTTACCTCGTCCTGGAACTCTTTTTGGATGCTGTTGAGTATGACTGACGCCGCTTGAGCTGCAGTGAGACATACGACAGAGTAGAGAGCCACAGCGAACAATGCTCCGGCTGTCTTCCACCTGCCCCAGTTCAAAGGATCGGCTTTGGAATTTGATGGCATAGGGAGTTTGAGCGTTCTTCCATCGTTTGTGATGAGGAATGTGCTGCCGGCGAGGTTGTATGATTCGCGCTTCGATGGGTCTGATGTGCCTGGGGTTGATGACCTAGAGCGGTAGCCCATGATTGAAGGCACGGATGGCCTCTTCCCGGATGCATCTCCAGTGATAGGTGCGTATATAGGGTGTGGTTCTGAGACTGGAGGAGAGTTGAGTGGTGGAGCCAGCTCCACCATCGGGTGCGGATCTTCCAACGAGGAAGGAGTCCCGTTGGAGTATGTTTCGGACATCATGATTTCCATGATCAGAGAGGTTAAGGAAAGACTGGCGACACGAGTCACCACACAAGTGGATCGTGAACGGACGGGGGGACTAACAAACGAAAAACGACTGAAGGATTGACAACCTGGAAAGCGTGGCGGTCGCTACGATCTATATCCACAATTACTCGAGGCTCGCGCTTTTCGGCGTTCGCGGGTGCGACCGCACTACTGTCGATCCCGTCTAGAGTTGAGGCTTGGAAAGAAAGTATAAGCTCCTGTCTCTCCATCTGAAGCTCGCCAAAGCCACCGCATCATACCGAGAGCA